AAACAAGGACTTGATGATATATTTTGTAACCCTCTGTGAACCTTTCCAAATTTAAAATATTCACTCATTATTGCTGTGGCCCCATGATTGCCTCTTTTCTTACACTGAACATGGAAATAAAGCCTAATAGAAATAAGGCATTATCCACATTTCTGAGTATTTATTCAGGCTGGAATATCAGAAAACATAAAGTAAACCTGAGAGAACATTTCTAAAACACTAGCTTGCAATACATTTCAACAGGATAAAGTACTAGAAAATGTGCAATCTTATTTAAAGAGAGGCTATAGTACCAGGTTTCAGAGAAAGAAAACAGGTCCTGGAATTTGAGCTGTGTACATGTAGATTTTGATCCAGGTTTTCTAGGTCTGGTACCCATTTGCCTAATTCCCAATGACTTTCTGCAGTCCAGTTTGCTGGTAGAGGAACATCACAAATAATTGGCTCTTTTCTACTGACTCTGGAAGCTTCTGGGTACATCTTGGAAGAACCACTGAAAGTCCTGGTGTGGGGAATTCTGTGTCCATGAGTCAACCTACAACTTGTTTTTTGTTAGCTGTGGATTGGAATCAGCACTAAATAAAACAAGGCCAAAACAAAACTTCCAAGCACATCAGTGCGGGCATGCAGGATGTTGAGAGCAGTATGCCCATCCAAGATGAACATGAACAGTGAGAATAACTGCTTTCGGTATATCATGCTCCAGTATCTACTGAAGCCTGCAGACAAATGATTTCACCATTTTTTTTAATGGAGCTTTGTCCTGTGAAGAGGACTTTGGGAGCATAGAGTCACAGTGAAAAGGCCAAGGTTGGATGGAAAGGATCCCCAAAGGAGGAACCTGGGCTGGATTTTAAAATGGGTGGAGTCAGTGGCAGGTGCTCAATTCAGAAAAGAGGTTTTGTGTGCAGCCTTGGAGGACTTGGTGGTAAAGGCAACGATTCTAACTCTTAAACATTTAGCTTGAGTTACATCAACTCTCACCCTACTTTAATCTGAGAATCCCTGTGAGGATGTTAAATATCTGATTTACTCGGGTAACAAGTTTTAGCATGCCAGTGATGTGACTTTGGTACAAGGTGCTGGGAAAACAGTGGTGAGCCAATTAATTAATCAGTGAAAAATGCAGTCCCCTGAACCAGTGGAGCTTACTATATAGTGCACTAATTTAGGGGCTAATGACATTTAATGTGGGGTCAAAGGAGTAGTGGCACTTAGAAGAGAATAATATTCCAGAAGGAAAAATAAAACTGCATGTATCATGACTGAAAGGAGTTAAAATATTAGACATGTCAGGAAAAAAAAGGTAGGTGGTATCATACTGAAGTCTTTTTAGATAGTGTAAAAGGTTTGGGATAGTATTGTCAGTCTAATAAGGAGCCAATACCAGTCTTGAAAAAAATAGAATACACATTCATGAATAAATATGTGTATATGTATATATACATGATTTTAATTTATTAAAAAGTTCACATTGCTTGTGTCATTTGGTACAATCTGGCATAACCATTAACCTATGAGATGAACACTGTAATTAAGACAGTGAACCGTAAGTGTGAGTCTGCAAAACTTCCTCATGTCACTGTTATCTCTTCCCCACACCTGACCCCAGATATCACATTCATACTTTGTTCATAGAGTAGTTACCACTTTCTAAAATTTTGTGTAATTGGATTTATCCAACATGGGCTTGTTTTTCCTGATTTATTTCATTCATCATAATAATTCTGAGCTTCATCTATATTGTTGCTTATATCAATGTTTCTTTTTATTGCTTAGCTATTTTCCATTGTATGGATATACTACAATTTGTTAATTCACTACTCTGTTAATAGGAACTTGGCTTATTTCCAATTTTTGGCTATTAAAGTTATTATGAATATTTGGATGTGTAATTATGCTTATTAATATAATAATGAACTAAAACATTAATAATTATGAAATTATTAACATTAAATACCTAGGAATGCAGTGACTAAATCATAAGGTAGGTGTGTAATTTTCTGAGGAGCTATTTTTTAAATTGGTACATCATTTTACATTTCCATCAAAAGTACAGGAATGCTCTAGAGTGCTCATTGTTCCATATCCTTGTCAACACTGTGATGAGCCTTTTATATTAGCTGTTTTAGTAGTGATTTCATCTATAACAATATGATTTAATTTGAAACTCCATAATTACTACTTTGGGTTTCATTTTAGGTACTTATTTGCTATCCCTATATCTTTGGGAAAATGTCTATTCAGATCTTCTCATTTTTTGTCTTCTGACCTGAAGTTACTTTCATCCTTTTCCTATAATATTGCAATTGTGTCCTTATGTAGGTAAGTGCTGTGCATTTAGAGAGGTTTGTCTTATTTATTATTCCCCACAGCTTTTGCCATATTTGGTCCAAAGGACATAAAAACATGTTAAATACTGAAAATTTTTTCTCGCTTTTAAACTGGGTTGCTTATCATCATCATCTTATTGAGTAGTAAGAGATTTTTATAGATACAGCTCTATTGTTGGCAAAGTATTTTGCAAATATTTTTCTCAGACTGTGCCCTGCATGTTAATGAAATCTTTGAAGAACAAATGTAAATGATGTTGAAGTCCACACCATTCATTTATAAACATATCATACTTTGTCTTTTGTGTTTTAGGTAAGAAATTATTTCTGAATCCAAATTACTAAGAGTCCCTCCTATAGTTCTGATTTCATCGTTAAAATTTAGGTTTGTTTTTCATTGAGTTTATATTTGTGTGAGATTAGGGTTAATGTCCATTTTTGTGACTATAGCTCTACTATTATAATGTAACATTTTAAAAATATCCTTTCACTATAAAAAATGACTTTTGTCAAAAGTCGCAGAAAATAATCTATGTATGTTTGAATAATTTCTGGACTCTCGTCTGTTTTGTCTAGAATTACGACAATATCGTATTGCTTTGATTACATAGCTTTATCGTAATTCTTGGACTAAAGTACTATAACTTTGTTCTCTTGATTTCAGAAAAGCTGTTTTAACCACCATAATTCTTTATTTCTATATAATATTTAGAATCAGCTGGACAATTTGAATGACAATGACAAAATGCCTTCTGAGATTTTTAATAGGATTGTACTCAAGACATCACTTTTCTCCAAGGTGATGAATTGAGTCTTTTAGTCCATTAACATGACTGTTTAGGGTTGTTTTTTTTTTTAATTCCCTGAGTAATATTTCAAATCTTTTAGCTAATAGGACTTGTGTATGTTTTTATCAAATTTATCACTATGTATTTTAAGTTTGAATTCTAGTGTGATAGTTTTGTTTCAATTTCTAACTTGTCACTATTAAACAGATATGACTTTAATGTTTTAATCCTGAAACCTTGTAATCAGTTAGCTTCCTAACACTTCTGTAGATTCCATCTGCATAGATGAAAAAAAAGGTCTTTACAAACAACAGGATCATCAAACTTTCCCAATCGAAATGATTTAATTCTACTTTTCTTATTGCTTTGACTAACTCTATCCACCCTTCCAACTTCTTTTCAAGGGTGTACTATTCTTTGTCCCTGCTCTTAGGAACAGAATGTTCAGTTTTCACAATTATGTATATTTTAAAAGCTCTTCTTTATCATGCTGAGTGCCTTCTATGTCTAGTATTTGAGCTTAAATCAGAAATAAGATTTTTATTAAAGTTTTTCATAAACTTCCATACTAATAAATTTTAACCTATTAAATGGTAAAAAAATAATAATTTTAAAATACGGAAACAACTTGTATTCTTTAAATAAACTCTAGTTAGTTGTGAAGGACTAAACTTTTTGATATCTTGCTGTATTTTATTTCCTAAATTTTTGTTAAGAATTTTTGCATCACAATGATGACATCATAATTTGAATATATCCCTTTCCTAAAAATAAGGCATGTGCTGTACCTGAATAACTTTAATATGAAGGAGAAACACCTAAAATGTTCACTTAAATGATTTCCATATTACAAGGTCAAAGATGAATGCCATAGTTTTTGTTAGTAACAAAATACAAATCTCCCTCTGTGATTCTGACATAGATGGTCCATATTCTGAGAATTCAGTCTTCAAAGTTGAGAGCTTGAATAATTCAAGGAGAACTAGTATTTTATGTTCAGAGAGAGAAATGGGTACAGATGCAGTTAATTTTGTGTTAGAAAGGTGGAGTATCTCTTCTATACTGGCTTCATTTTTCTTATGACATGTACAGACAATGTGAGCATGGAAGGAAGGATGTATCTGATGTTTGAATAGTGCTGGGGTCTACATGGACCCAAAACTCTTGGTGAGATGGAAGAACTATTTCACTAGATATAATTTTGATATGAATCTGGGAGTATAAAATAATTGTGGCTGCAAAGTAAAATGTTTTGTTTTTAAATTTTCATTTTTTGTGTGATGACAAGCTACAACCTAGGTAACAGAGGCTGAGTTGTATTGTGCTAGAACACTGGTATTGATGAGGTCACAGAGGGCATGATATACTACTTGCTTGCATATGGAAATTCTATTTCCTGAGTGATGTCAATCATAGTAACAGAAAGATGAATGGGAGGCAGACAGCCAAGAACCAATCAGACTCAGAAAACCATCCAGGGACATCAGCATCTTGGAAGCCAACAGGGGCACAGGAAAGTTCAGATGGATATATATTTATTTTTCCAGCTCATTATTATGGACCCTACCACAGTTTCAAAATCATATGTCCTAAAGCCATGGAATGTCTTTTGATAATGAAATTTATAATTCTGATATCGATGTATGAGTTATGATTTAGCCATGTAGATGCAGGAAAAGAAAAAAATAGCAACCATTTATCCTATAGAACTTGGCAAAGAAATTGAATCAAAATAACTTCTTCATGTTTTTTCCTATTCATGACAGGAACAAAAACGTTGGCTTTCAAAGTATCTTACCAGTTTGGGAGGACAAAGATGGAGATTGTAGCTGCTGTGCCCTGCTAGCATCCATTCTAATTCTGTTTTTCACATTCACAGAGAGTGAAGAAGTTTATCAAAGGCAGGTGCTGTCAATTTCATGTATCATCTTTGGAATTGTCATCGTGGGCATGTTCTGTGCAGCATTCTACTTCAAAAGCAAGTAAGACCATTTCTCTCAAGTGTTAAAGTGCTCTGAGAAATAACCTTTTATCTTTCTTTATGTTCTCAGTCTCTGCTCCAAGCAGAGGGATCCTGTGCAAATGGGTTCATTAACCATCTGCAAATGACTCAGACCTCTTAGTAGACTGCAGGGAGCATGTGAACTGGGTGTGTATGTCTGTATGGGGAGTGGGTGTTATCTTTGCACATAGCAATCATTTGTACTAGTTGATTACCTGCCTGCATTAAAGGCTTAGTGTCTGCCTGTCACTAAAGTACTGACTTTGAAACAGGGGAGTTACTGCTGTGACACTAAACATTATCAACCATTACCTAGCCTTTCCTGAAAGAAACTACAGAAAAAAAAAAATCTCTCCTGCTATTTTTACCTGATACTCATAAAGGTTTTAGGCAAATATGAAGAATCCTAAAAAAATGTATTAGCTCACCAGTTGACATACATATGTTGAATTTGCCCTGAAGTTCATTTGCCAAGAAACTTGACCTTTGGCAAATGAAGGTACTTACTTTTGACTAATAAAGGAGAATAAAATACATCCATATACACACAAAAGTGTTTGTGTATGTATTTTTTTTCCAAATTAACTCTGATAGTTATTTTAAGTTCAGATTACATCATTTCCCTAAATAAGAAATGCAGATAAAAACATTAGCCTTTTCAATTCTTGAGCCTTAAAAAGTTGGCTCAGATTTTACTCCTACAGCTTGTCTGGAATCTAAGCCAACATGAAATTGCTTTTCATAGGAACTATATTTTTCTAACCATTTGCTCTTCTAAAAATGAATCAGTTTCCAGATAAAATATATAATACCTGTCTGCATGTTGTGTATGTTAATTAAAAACAAAATATTTTACCCCTTAAAAATAAATGACAAACTCAGTAAAGATTATTTTAAAATTATTTCAGGATTGCTATAAAAATAGTACACAGAATTCCTATACAGCCTAGACCCAGTTTCCTCTATTATTAATATATGGTTCATCTGTCATAATTTATGGAATAATATTGATAGAAAGTCCATACTTTCAGATATCTGTAGGTTTTTATTTGTTTACCTACTATCTTTTTCCTTATTCCATGGCCTCATCCAGAACACTATATTTTATTAGCCAAGATGTGCCAAAGAAATATGATGGCTATGACAATTATAACTTCCCGAACTGGAAAGTTAGAACTCTTTGTCAGGCACACTGAGCTTTTCACACTTTATATCCCAGTTGTCAAAACAATCTGAGTGGTGGATTTACTGGAAAATACAGTATTAGTCAGCTTTTCATTACTATAACAAAATACCTGATAGAATTACCTTATGAAGAGGAAACAATTATTTTGGCTCACAGTTTTGTAGATTACAATCCATGATTAAATTACCCATCACTGCTTTTGGTCCTGAGGCAATACATCATGGTAGGAACATGTGGCAGAGGAGGTCTGTTTCTCTTATAGCTGAACGTTGGAAAAGAGAAAAAGAGGAAGGAGTGGAGTCCCACTCTCCTCTCTGAGGGCATTGCATCAATGACCATAAGACCTTCCACAAGGCCCCACCTCTCTTAATAGCATCAGTTAGGAGACAACACTTTACTCCGTAAGCTTTTGGGAGATATTTCAAATCCAATATTGCAGATAATATGAAAATTTATTTTGAAATATCAACTTTTCAAATCAGCAAGGTAGAAAACTGCAGATACAGGGCTCTGAATCTCAGCAAGTGTAATTGACAAAACCTATTTTAAATTACTGTGCTATATTGGCTCATAAAGTCCTCCAAATGATGAAACTCTTCAGAGCAACTTAGGATTTCCCACTCTGGTGGAGCCTCTAGCACTTTAGGGAGGTCACAAGGCTGTAGTGGTCAGGATTTTACACCAATCAGCCACAGTGGGAGTTTCTTAGCCTCAGTTTCCTTTTAGGTGAAATATGTACCAAAACAACATCTACCTTACAGAATCACATTAAAGACTGAATGGGATAATGCTATACAGGTCACAGCACAGTGTTTGAAAGATTAAATACTCCACAACGGCTCGGTATTTTTAACACCTATAGTTTTCCACTCCAAGACTTAAAGACTATGTTGCTACAAAGTTAAGAGCATACACCAGAGGATGTGAAGGATAATCACACCCAGCAGAATGTTAGAAGGGTCTCCTAGTAAGAACTGCAGATGAGCAAGAAATAGTGTATTTAACAATAAGCAAATTACTATGAAGAAGCAGTTAATCACTTATTTTTAGAGTATAATTTGTAGTTGTACCACATTTAAGTAAAAGACTGATTATGGTAATCACAAGAATGGAGAACAGCTGGATAACTAAAGAACTTCTGTCTTTAGGGCTGTCAGTCTCACTCTCTGGGCCTCCAGTAGGCTCTGAGACCATCATCTGTTCCTTGGGCTCAGCGAGGGTTCAGGGAATTTGTTGGAAACACCATTCAATGCCAGGTTCTTCATGGGAATCTCAGAGGACCAAGCAGGGGGATGAGTACTCATTGGAATATTTCCCTTCTCTCTGCTCACCCAGGACACGTTTTTTGAAAAAATATAATGATAATAGTGATGCCTTTCCAACTGGAATGCCATTTCTCATTAGAGACCTAGAGTTTATATTTCCTTCTCTTATAATTTCTGGAATAGTCTTCCTTTATTTTTGACAGAAATGCCTTGCCCTACCCCAACCACTTAGTACACACTACTGAAAACAATATTGATTTTTGTAAAACCCTGGCAAAAGCGTCTTTTGTGAATTCTTGGATTTGTGTTTACATTTCGGAATGTTTTGGTAAAACAGAATAGGCACCCACTGACTTGATCAGCCCTTGCTTTCATGCATAAAATATGGTTATTTACATGTGATACTTTCTTTTGACTCCAGGTTATGGCCCACAAGTATTCCAGTATTCAGTGTCCTATCACTGGTACCCAAATAAGTCCATTGGTAAACTGGGATGTAGCATCCTGGCCAGTGAGAGTTGGGACTTACCACAAAGCTCATTCTCAGAGTTGTTTATGCTATACCTTGCATTATCACTCAGATTTTGCCACTCTTGTCCTCATTATGTGGCATAGCACAGCGCCATCAAAAGAAATATTACAGCAACATGTCTGAAACTTTGAAGGTAGCTAACATGATGAGCTAGAAATGAAGCATGTCTTCTTGGATTTGGAGGATTTTTCTGATGGAATTAATCAAATGCCACAATGCCAAAAGAGTAGAAAGAATTCTCATTACATCTAGTGAGCCCATATGTATTTAATGCAAATATTAATTAGTTTAAGTATGGCCAATATGGTTCAGATGGAAACTATCAATTCTTAATGGTTTTCTCTTCAGCTTACTTAGGTAAGAAGGATGAAATCAGCTATAGGAGTTTTTAGTAGAATTTGGAAATTACTAACTTAAATTTGGGGTAGGAGAGAAAAGGTTCCTGACAGCAAAACCTGAAATGGATGGTAATCAAAACTGGGGAAACAATAGGAAAAATTAGGAAAGGTATTACCAGTAGCAACATGCCTCTTCCTATAGCTTATCACCTATTCAGTAAGAGATTTTGCATCATAAGGACGCTCTGATATGCTGTTTGACCTCAGACCATGAGCTGCCTTTCTGGGTCACATGCCCTGTTCTGAGATAACCCACCTCTGATGACACATCAGTGTAGGGCTCACAAGATTATTACACCTGGATTAAAGCAACCAGGAGTGTTGGAGATAAAAGCCCCCCAAATAATTGTAAAGATAAAAATGTAAACAAACAGCTACCAACACATTGGCAGTGTAAATTCAAAAGGGTAAATGATGCTCATAACCTCCAAATTCTTTAGAAAATATCAGTGACTTACTTGTGAGAGATTCAATTAGTACAATATTTTATCTCTGGGCAATGTTCTCATTCCTCCACAGCATCTGCCCCCAATACTAAGCTAACTGCACATTGAAAATGCTGCCACCATATACATGGAAGAAAAGGTAGTTCTTATGAACTCCAGTTGCACATGAAGAAAGGGAAGCTCAGAGACATTTAGAGAATTATTAGGGTGGCAAGCTGGTGGATAAGAGCTCAGGTTCAGATCCCAGTCCCTGTAGTAGCAGAATGGAGACATTCATGGTAAGATTTGTCTTCCAACCAGTCTCCTTGACAGAGAACTCAGGGGAGAGGCAAAGTTGTTTTCATGGGTACTGAGTCTGACACTAATAGATAATTGCTATGAACCTTCTGGAAGATTGCAGCTGATCAGGCAAGAGTTTGTTCCACTCCTCTGGAATAGATACCGAATGAACCAAACAATAGTCCCTCCACATGTACATGCAGGATCACTTTATTTCTGAGCCCAAAAACCTACAGCAATCTCAGCATCCCTGCTTAGAAGCTGAGGATATGTAAATCTCTTGATGGTGGTTTGGTTGAAGGCTGTGCTCTACCACCTACTCTCTGTGACCCTGGGCAAATGATTTAACTTCTTTGTGCCTTTGTTTACCCATCTGTTAAATGGAGATAGTGTTATCGTCTCATCACATAGAATTATTGTGGAAAATTAATTAACTGGTACCTGTAAAGTAGTTAAAATGATGTGTGACACAGTACTATGAAATCATTAGTTATTTCCTTAAAAATTAACTATTATTTAGGCTGTAGGTAATAATAAATGTACAAAACAGAAAATATACACACTTTTGTATGCAAGCCATGCATATAGGCTAGACATATATCTTAGCAAAAATATGTGGCCTCCAAAGTCAAGCCTCATATTTTTCCTTTAGTCACTTATCCATAGCATTTCCAATTATTTAAAAGTGAGCACTGAGGATTAGGAAACTCTTGCATTTATGGAGGCCAGGACAACACATCACGTTCCTAAGCACCATTGCTTATGAATCTCAGGATCATAATGCATAATACCAGGTTTGCTCTAAATTGGAAGTATTTCTTGGTGGAGTTGAAAACAAGAGAAGGGCTATCTTTGTTAACTGAGCTCATCTAGCTTTGGCAAATGTCAAAGACATGGGGAATGAATGAACATCAAAATTTAAGATTCCATAAACGTATGCAAATTCTGATAACACCTATTTATACCTGCAGGAAACAAGCTAAACAAATCCAAGAGCAGCTGAAGGAGTCACAAAATGGTAAAAACTACAGTCTTAAAGCATCCAGCACAATGGCAAAATCAGAGAGCTTGGTGAAAAGCCACGTCCAGTTGCAAAATGTAAGTGATGTGTCTGCATGTCTCTTCCTACAGCCCACCTCAGCATCCCCGTCCAGAGGGAACCTATAATTATACTCACTTTTTTTCAGTACTTTATAGTTTACTTAAATCATCTTTCATTTGCATGCACGTAGGTATGTATATATGCATTGCACGTATCAGAAGAAAGAAATAGAAGTTAGCTCTTGATTTTTATCTGTAATATAAATTAATCTCTAGTAGCATAAAAAGCTTGTCCCATCAAACAACTGAATTGTTACTTTATGCCAGAAATAATGTTTGGTGCCATGCAGGAACTAGAACCACCACCAGAACTATGTAAGAATTTGCACAGCTATGGTGGATGCTACAGCAAGGCTGGAGGGAGGACCTAGAGGAGGCAGAACTGGAGCTATCCCTCAACAAGGTCAGACTCTAGCAGGATTTCAAAAGGCATTAAAGGTTCATCAGATAGTTAAAGAACTAAGAGGGAAAGAAATTAAAAAAGAATAAAGCCATGGGACTCAACAAATGCATACTATGTTCAAGCAGCTCCAAGTTAAGGGGGTCAGAGGAATGAGAAATGTGAGACTCAGTCCTAGAGTCAATTCTTCTAACACCAGGATGTATAGACACCAAAACTTAAAGGCAAACTCTTTTCCTACACACTTTTGAAAGGTAGTTTTAATCTCTTCTAAGATATATTGCAAAACACACAAATGAAAGAGACTATCTAATACATGCTGAAATGTTCCTCCTATGGGTAGCAATGCTTTGCTCACACATAAGATTGTGATTCCAGATTATGAGGCATGAAACAAAGGAACAAAGGCCATACTATAAAACTAGGATTTGAGTATAATAGGCAATCACTCAGGACACATTCAGGCCCCTTCAAACGCTTAAATTGCTGGGAATTCATACATCACTTGTGATTCTAAGAAATCATTACCCAAAAAGTCACCATTATGATGTGCCTAACAGATGTACTTAGATGGTTTAATGTGGGATTCATAAATCAGAATTGCTTGCTGGCAAAGTTTTGTTAAACTTTTATTTGTGGGAATAGGCAGGGCTTGTTCTTTTCAGAGAACACTTTTGCTAATGATTTCTAATGAGTATAATCCAAGCACCTTAAACAGCCACAGTGATGGAGGGGTTCAGTTCCTTAGCAACTAGTCCCGTCAAAGATAAACAAGTCTGGACACATGGGACAGCAATAGGGATGGATTTTAATCAGTAATGTACCACAGTGATGGGGAAGGGGGCCCATTGTGCACATATTCCGTATATACAAGGTGACTTGGCCTTTTAAAGGGAGAATGAGAGCAGAAAGGGGGACAAGTGAGGGCTTAGAGCTAGGGAAGAGACAAAGTGCTCAAGGTGGGTCAGTGTGTCCCTGCAGTTGGGCAGTGGTGTCTTCTGGCCGGAAATTACTGAAATCAGGATACCATGCTCCCAGGAAGACCCTGATGTGGATATTTCAAAGGAATGTTTTGTAGGTGCTTGTGAAAGATACTTCCTGAGGTGCAAGAGACATTCATAACCATAAAGCTTCCTGTAAGTGTTTTAGATAGGAACTCAGCATTATCTTCAGGTGTGGGCCTTGCGTTTGATGTTGCTTTGTTTTTTAGCAGGCACTTGAAGAGGGGAGGCTATGGTCATTCTAGGGATGCAGCCTTGAGCTGTTGGAAACTAAGTTAGTATTTGTTCAGGTCTTTTAGTGTGGGGTGGAGAAATAGGGGTATGAAAGCACTTGTGTTGAGGGGATGCAGTTTTTATAGCGTAAAGGTGAGGCCTGATTGAAGCAAGCCAGGTCAAGAAGAGTCTTTGTCCATAGCCATGTATTTAACAGTTTGGTTGTGACCCTTCTTTTTTATCTAATAAGCGCTGATAGCATCTTTTGTCTCCTGCATGATTGCCGCAAACTCATTTGGGATGATTTCATTAATGGTCCAGGAGTGAACACTTCACAATCCCTCTCATCCATCCCCATCCCGGTAGACATCCAGGCTCTTTTCACCAATGCTACAATCTTCACTTGCATCCTCTCCTCTGCCCTCATTTCATTGGAATTACAAGAAGGAAGTGATTATCTGCAGGTTTCCAACACTTAGGAGATGTTGGGTGAATATGATTTTATTTCCTCTTCAGCCCACAGGGCCCTATGTTATGTATGGACACACAAAACAGGAAGGGTCTCAACTAGATTATGTCCTCAGGGCTCAAGGGTGAGGATGGTGTCTTTTTGTATTCATACCTTTGTTGCCTAAGAAGAGGATAGGGGGAAAAAACCCATTTTTTTTAATTTCTATTCTTCTAGGTTCTCTGCTGAACCCTATAGCCAAAGGCAGATTAATAAGAGAAAAGCAGAGGTGTGTTAACATGGGTATTAGGAGTGTAACATAGAATACCCAGAAATGGGTAACTCAAAGGGGTATTTGTAATTTAGGCTTACATACCAGCTTAGGCTAAAGGAAAAGAGGTATTTCCAACTTCCAGGTTGGGGAAGCAAGTTATGGAACGGTGACCAGGAAAAATATGGAATGTAAGAGTTGTAATTAAGCATTCATATGAAGGCTTAAATGATTTTTTCTTCTTTTTTGGTAAAGGAAATTTCCTTTACCCCCCCCCCCCCCCAAAAAAAAAAGCCTATTTGGAGAGCTTTTACTACCTATTCTGGGTCTCTATGACCTTAACCCAAAATAATCCTTATTTCAAAGATGCATATTTTGGGGTTTCATTCCCCTCTAAGTCTCAGAGACAGAAGTGTTTTGATCATCTAAGATCATCCCAAGAAATTATCAGGATGAATTGCTAAGCAGGAATTGGGACTCCAGGAAGAAAATATGTATGAGGAGAAGGCATTTAAATATGCCAACAAAATGAGAGCAAGGTGCATTGAAGAGATATGTACACAGAGACATTGCATTCTGCATATTGCCAGCATAGGCTCAAGGGCTACCTGAGCAGGTCTCCTTAACAAGACCAGATTGTGATAAGTTTCTTTCCCAAAAGCATGTCAGTTTCAGTGCTAGAAGGCAATGTGGGTCACTGCTGGTTTTGTTATATCTCTATCAACATTTCCTTTGCTAATTTAATAGTAGGATGGCATTCTTTGAAATTTGCATTTCTTTATTTGAGAGTGAAGCATAATCTCCGTCCACATATTTCTAGTCAAATTTCCTCTTTGGTGAATTACATGCTGATACCCTTTGCTCACAATTTTATTCCAGGAAGCAAATATCAATTTGACTGCAATTTTCCATGCTGTAAGTTTTGAGACAAAATAGTGATGGAGAATAGATATTAAGTCTATTAAAAAGGAACCAAATATTTTAAGAACATTTGCTTTTCTTTAATGCTCTGCAGTTGAAGACCAGGAAGCATACTATCAGTAGTTTTAGGGAAAGCAGTCATGTGACTAAGAACATTGGATGTCTATGAAAGGGAATTTCAAATGCATTTTTGTTTTGTAGGTTTTTATACTATTTTCTTCTGGTAAGAGCTATGAGGAAATACCCATGTCAATATAACAAAAAGATAAATGACATGGTAACAGCAAAACACATGTGCTGAGCGCAAACACAGTTATCATACTAAATAACAAATATATTGTCTCATTTCCTTCTCACAGTGAATGTTTAACTTATAATATCTAGGAGGAGGAAATGGAGCTTAGAGCTTAGACAGTTACTTCTATCAGAAGACTAGTGAGTAGGTCAAAGATAAAAGCAGACCTATAAACTCATTAGCTCTCACCAGGGGGAAATTTGCTTTTACCACCATTGCACATTTTGGCAAAGACTGAAAAATACTTTGGCTGTAAATACCTGGGGAAAGAATACTACTGGAACCTAGTGGTTACAGATCAGGGCTACAGATAAATGCCCTATAATGCATGGCCACTCCATAACAGAAAATTATCCTTTCAAAAATAGCAAAAGTGGCTAGAAAGTTCAGAATCTCTGTTCAAATGCAACTTTCCATTTCTATTAAGAAATTCTGAACACCCAGGTCCATCACCGGTCTTCCTACTGTGAGCATTCATTTCCTCTACAAAGGAGGATGACAGGTATCTAGGTACATAATCATCCTTCCCAGAAAAAAAATTCCTGATTACCATATCAGGCAAATCTGTCTTTTATCTCCAAGACCAGGTTAACTACTGAAAATTATTTGCAAATGGTGGTGTTTAACAAATGAATTGTGTCTGGCATTCCCTTATGTTCATTAAACATTAATGGTGAAGGGTTTCACTTTACAGTCATTTAACAAGATGTGAAACACCTAGTCAATTGAAGCAACATGATTTTCTGGAAGCGCTTGACTGAGACATAAGAATGAGGGTAGATTATCCTGTAGTGCCTTATGAACATCTAGCCCCTACCTTCATTTGCAGTTCAAATCTTTGTGACCCAAAGAGATGAAGAAATGAACTAACCCTCTGTATTGAGTCTAGGAGTGAGAAAGAGCTAAGTGAAACTTCTCAGTCTGATTCAGGGATCAGAAAGTGAAGTCATCAAAAGAGAGATGAGCTGTTCTTCTCTTAAAATCAGGAAAAATACATATAATCACAAAGTAAGGGAAAAAATTGTATATCCTTCCTACCTTTTGATCCAGTAATCATCTTAAAGAAAAATAGGTTTAGCTAGGTGTGGTGGCATATACCTGTAATCCCAACTACTCAGAAGGCTGAAGCAGGGGGATTACCAAGTTGAAGGCTGGCCTTAGCCACTGAGCAAGACCCTGTCTCAAAATAAATAATAAAAAAGGATTGAGGATATAGGTCAGTGGTAAAGCACCCCTGGGTTCAATCCCTGATATGAAAGAGAAAGAACTGCAAGGTAATAAATACTGGAGAAAAATGCCCAGCACAACCTTAACAATTGGTAGAGAGGCATACATTTATTCAGTAATGTTTACTGAATACTTTTATATGTTGGGAAATACATGGAAAGCTTAAAATACAGAGATCATTGCTAACCTCAAGATGCTCACAGGCTAGTAGTAGATATAAG